CAGCATTAAGGCAGTAGACTAGTTTTCAAAACAGAATTAACTATATATGTTGGTAGGAAATCTAATAGCCAGTTCTAGCAACATTCTATTCCTTGAGAAACTCTGATTACTTTTTGCTCCTATCTCTTTAAAAATCTAGCTTTAAAAATTCAAATATATTATCAACTGAGATATATCCTATTCAATTAAGCCAATTTGTTTGTTTTTGCAGAAACAAAAACAATTTCATACCCAATAATCCAATTCATTAAACATCTAAGTACCTACAGGTAAGCAACTTTTAGAACCAGTCACACGTATAGGAAATTTCAAGAGTTATTTCCATGACTTAACAGAGTCAGATAGTTTAGTTCCACACATTTATTAAAGAACATTTTTCCTCTATAAGAACAAATTTTAAAAAAATACTCACCACATCCTTTAGGACATTGAACAAGGCCAGTTAAGACTGTGCGTACAGGTAGTCGTAACATCTTGCTAAAAATAAAACAGAGAAGTCTTAAGGTTCTTTGTAGGAATATATTCTAGTTGCTAACTTTTTTTAGATTGCTAACACCTTTATTTTACATTTGATAGTTCATGCTGGTTAATAACAGAATTCCATCAAAATGTTATAAATTTTATCTAATATAATGCTACAAACTGTTAGATAGCTATACTTAATCTGTCCTTCTGCTAAGTAAAATGAAATTGCATGGCAAATTAAAAGAGATGATTAAAAAACCTGAAGTACTATTTAAGTATCTAATAATACTAAGTACTGAATGTTGTTTCTTTGAAACAAAGGAGCTATCATTCACAAAGCTTTAAAGTACACAACTCCTTGACATACAATATATTCTTAATAGGATTGTCCAATATTGAGAAGAAATACCTCAAAATATATACTGAAAAATTTCCCACACAATAACCTCAAGGCACTTAAAATTTAGCAACCAGATAGGACTCTGCAATGTCAATTAATTAAAAACTATAAAATCAATTCTCAATTAACCACATGTAGATTATCAACTGAATTTTTAAAAATATGAGAAACTGGTTTTCTTCCTCCTTCCATTCAGCATACTTCTGAGGTGCTTCCCCTAAGTTAGCAGGTATTATGCAAATATGGAATGCAAAAAATAGTTTTAGGATCTGCTTAAGGAAAATATAAATTAAGAGGCTAAGTTTTTGGTACAAGATACTATGTTACAAATAAAATTTGCTTTCCAAACCAAACATAACAATTAAAAAAAATTACTAGTATGAACAATCAAGAGTTGACTAGATACCATGATTTTACTGTGGTAGACAGTCCCTCTAGCTCTACAGACTGTCACCTTCTACGATTTAACAAAAGTCTAAGTTGCTGTGACTGAATTAAAAAAAAAAAATCACAACTTGGTGATATGTTTCTCTGGCACCTAGACAGTGCGGTCCTTCTGACCATCAAAATAAGGCCTGTCTTTGAAGCTCTTCTAGCTTGTTTACTTGCATTTGCCAGAATTTGTGATTCAATGTCACTGTCACAGGGAACTTGGTGTCACCTCTTTGCCACTAAATGGCACTGGCTTTAGTGAATGTCTGTGTAAAACAATATAAAAGTAGAAACTTCCATTTACAACTCATTGTTATCTTGTTACACATTCCCTATAACTTTAGAGAAGTATTTTTACCCCACTACCTTTGGAGGGAATTGGTGATAGGCAGTGGACAGAGCACTGGGAGCACAGGAATGCTTGAGTTCAAATCTACCTTCAGATACTTCCCGTGTGACCCTGGGTAAGTCAATTTACCTCTGCCTCAATTCTTCAACTGTGAAATGAAAATGATAATAACAGCATCTACTTGCCAGGTTGTTATTAGAATTAAATGAGATAATATTTGTTTTTAAAAGTGCTTAGCACAGTGCCAGGCACATAATAGGGAGCTATATAAATGATTTATTCTCTTCACCCAGCTTTGAGGGATGGCTTAATTTTTCTGTAAAATTCTGTCATAGCCTTTTCCTAACATTAATAATATTTGTGTAGTGTTTCACTGTTTACAAAGACCTACATGTATTACCTCATATGATCCTCCCAACAACCTCGGGGAGTATTATAGCTATTATTATTCCATACACACACACACACACACACACACACACACACAAACAAAAACTAAAGCTCTGAGTGATTATGTGATATTAGTGTGGTCAACTAGTATCAACTAGTATCAGAGGTAGGATTCCAACCTAAATCTCTAAAATTCAAACAGCTTTTATTAAAAACTTTGAACATTGTCTTTTTATGAGTTAAATAGAAGATTCAAATTATGAACTAAACGGGGTTTTCCAAATCAATGTTTTTCCCACTAAAAAAATTTTATTTCAGCAGTAAAGTGATGTTATCAAAATAATTATAGAATTAAAGTTATCTGACTTTTGAGAGGACGGAAAAAACGACTATGGGAAAGGGGAAAACTGAATTACAATTCTCTAGTACTTGTTGAGTTCCTTCCATCCGTTTGCCATTATATTTCTAGTTTTGCTTTCACATTATTCATCAATTTGCAGAAATTATTTGTTCTTACTGCATAAAATGTTACCAAAAACTTGAATATTTTATTTTATAAAGCATGAAGTAAAATACTTTCACACAATCATACTCAATTTATTCAAAAAGTCTTCCCTGACCAATTCAATAAGCATTTACTAAACACCTACCATACGCAAAGCATTTGGGGACACCAAGACCACTTCTCCCTACCCCCCAAAAAGTTTACCCCAGTAAGAACCTTACATTTTACTGAGGACATCCAAACAGAGGAGTCAATAAATTAACATCCAGATTAATTTTCAGACCAGGAGATTGCCTATCTCCAAGATATGTCATGCAACTTTGTTTAAATTTTGTAATGTTATTATATGTATATATGCAATATATATGCAGTACACACACACACACACACACACACACACACACACATATTTATCCTCAATGATGACATTGCTTTCTTGACCCTTCTACAAGTGGAGTTTGCTTTGTAATGGTCTGCAATTTGTTAAACACAGGAATCATTCCATATTCTCTACCTCTCTGTATTGTACCTAATATGATGCCAAATAATCTGTAAGAGTCCAATAATTAGGAGATGCTGATGACACATTTGTGACATTTTCAGAAAGGATGAACAAGAAAATGAAGGGAAGCTGTCACTCTGAACCTCAGTTTCCTCATTTGCCAAGTAAAGAAGTTATTAAAGTCTGATGATCCCTTAGAGTTCTACTTACTTGAACGTATGGTGATTCTTCCAATAGTCCCTATCTCTGAAAAATGATTTGTGTAATAAATTGGGTCACTGAAAATTAAATCTTTCCTAGCCCCAAGTTCTCCTTAATTTGTAATAAGTTTTGCACTACAGAAATATTGACAACAGTACAACAAACTCATTTTTCCAGAACGGTGGAAGAATTCAATGTTGGGGTTACTCAAGAGTATTCAAAGATCACCAATAGGGGAAAAAATGCAAAGAAACACATTGTGGTTGTTAGTCGTTTTTCAGTCTGGTCTCACTCTTCCTGACTCCAGTGGAGTTTTCTTGGCAAAGATACTTGAGTGGTTTGCCATTTCCTTCGGCTCACTTTACTGATAAGGAAACCAAGGCAAGTAGGGTTAAGTGACATGCCCAGGGTCACACAGCTAGTAAGTGCCTGAGGCCACATTTTAACTCAGGTCTTCCAGATGCTAGGCTAGCTGGCCAAAGAGACACATGACAGCACCACATAAGAAAGGGTATGACTTGGGAGTCAGAGCACCAGGTTCTGCCACTTACTCTCCATGTGACTTTGGGCAAGTGATATGACCCTTCTAGACCTCAGTCATCTCGTCTATAAAATGGGGGAGCTGGACAAGCCTAGGCTTCCTAAAGGCCTTCGTCTCTGAGGAAAATCATCCTAAATTCCCCACCCAGTCCAATTCGGAGTCTACACCCCGAGTGCCCCTGCGCTAGTCACCCGGCCTCTCCCAGGGCGAGTATAAATGGGGGTCGGGGCTGGATGACCTCTGGTCCTCACGCCCGGTTCCAGGTTCTCAGGCCCCTCCCGGGGCGCGGGGGGGGGGGGGGGTCGCTCGGGCGCCTCTCGGGCTGACCCTCTCGGCCGGCTCGAGTGTCCGGGCAGGCCGCACCGCCCTCCCGCCTCCCGGGGTCACCGTACTCGGCCAAGGCTGCGGGCTCGGGGCTAGGCCAGGGTGCGGCCCCGCTCGGCCTCGGAGGACCAAGGGCAGCCGCGCTGCCCGGCCCTCACGGTGCCGGCTTCCCGCGGCACCCCGGCCCGGCCCGGAGGCGGGGACGCTGACTGACCTGGACTCAAGGACAAGGGGAGGCTGAGGGGTTCGGGGCCCCGAGGGCCGAGAAGCCGGCCAGCACGGAGTTCTCCGGCCACCCCCGACACGACCCTCCCCCCCAAGCCCGGCCTTACCTTCTCGGGGGCGCGCCGGCACCGTGGGGCCTCCAGGACCCGATCAGCCCCTCGGCTCCCCTGTCCTTTATTCTCTATGGCGGCTTCGGCAATTTCCGTCCGCCGACACGAATGAGACCAGGTTGCTGGGAGAAAGACTTCGGCAATTTCCGGCCTGTGGGGCGGGACTGGACTCGGCCGTGTCAGTCAGGCGGCTCTGGCGGAGGCGGGGCCAGCCTGGTTCGGCAATCTTCGGGGATCCAGATGACGTTTCGGTAATCCTCCACCACTGGGCGCCCCGAACTTCGAATGTCCCCAGGGCCTGTGGGGGCGCAGCGGACGAGGGAGAAAATTTTCGAAATGACCATTTTTATTCTTTTCAATCTGAGCGTCGGGGAAACAAGTGCCGGGAGAGCTACCTGAGATTGTAACAATCAAGATAACGAATTTTAAAGGCCCATTGGGAGCGGGCACAACAGAGAACTTTGCCCTTTGAACTCCGCTCTCTCTTTCCTAGCGTGGCGGAGCGGAAGGATATGGTCTGACCTTATATAAGGGAGTCGCTGATGACGCGCGGCCCTTTTTTCAGTCGGCGGCCGGCGCTAGCGTGTTTGCACGCTGCGCTCCTTTCCTGCCCCGCGCTCCATTCCTCCGGTGCCGCCACCGCCGCCGCCTCTTCCCGGTCCCTCCCACCACCACCATGGGCTTCGGAGATCTCAAGACACCCGCGGGCCTGCAGCACCTCAACGACTTCCTGGCGGACAAAAGCTACATCGAGGGGTGAGCGAGAACCCCGGGGCGGTGTCACCGGGAGGCCCGGTGGGTGCAGCGCGGGTGGTGGATGAGAGCAGGGGGACGAGGCCGCCGTCGCCGCTCCGGCCTGGTGGGAAGCGGGCTGCCCCGGCTCTGGGGCCATGGAGGTGGAGGAGGAGAAGCGGGGCATGTCTGAAAGGTCATCCGGGGTTGGGGGGGAGGAAGAGGAGGCGGCGGCCCAGGCCCGGCCGACCTGGGAGGGACACGTGGCAGAAGCGCCTCGCGCAGGGGGGGCAGGCCCGGGTTCGGGCCCGAGAAGCCCCTCCACCCCACCTCCAGGAGGGAAGGGGAGAAGGTGCGTACCTAGGTCACCCGCCTGGCCTGGGTAGACGGGCCCTAGGCCCCAAGCCCCGGCTGTGCTCACGTGTGCGCTGACTTCCCGCTCCGGCCTTGACCCTCCTGGGATTTCCTGAAAGCCCATTTAAACGGAGTTCGTTCGAGGCCCTTCTTAAAAAGTGTATCTTGTGGTGCTGGGCCTGGTTAACTTGCTTTGGGTGCGCTATAATTAGCCGGCTGGCTTTGCTTACTAATTCGCCTTGTTTCGTCCTTAGGTACGTGCCATCCCAGGCTGACATAGCAGTATTTGAAGCAGTCTCAGGCCCACCACCTGCCGAGTTGTACCATGCTCTCCGTTGGTATAACCACATTAAATCCTATGAGAAGCAGAAAGCAAGGTAAGGTTATGCTGGTGTGTGAACTTTCTCTGAAGTAAAGCAACTCATAGTAAGGTTTTTCACATTCCAAATTTGGACCTAGGCTATTATAGTTTTGCTGAGATGTTGTAAGCTTAATTAATTGCTTGTGCCACCTTGCTAGGCCAAGAGACTGAAGTCCTCCCATTTTTTCACAGAACAGGTAGAACATGGACAACAGCAATTCAAGTTTTCCCCACACTGTCCTGCCAATATGCCTCGACCCTGACCTGGGGGGGCCACCTCTGGGGTGAGAGGGGTAGTTCATCTATGGCTCATTCATTCAATCCTTGGCCATGCTTCTGAAACTGCCAACAAGGGTGGAAGTTTGGGGAAGTGGACAACCAGTTCACTAAGAACGGAACTGAACATACTGTTATGAAATCTCAAACAAAAATGTACATACTGAAAGATTAAATCATAGTGAGTATTCAATATAATGTCTCCCAGGGTAGCAGAGTGGTTTGGGTGTGAGAATCTTTAAAAGGTGAAAATATTTGCAGGGGGTAGTTTTGAGTACTGAAATTATATTGACTTAAATAATACTGAAGTTAATTTGTCCTCTTTATAGAGCAGTTTGAGAGTTGAGGTCAGTGTTCATGTACTTCCCCCATCTCCTGTAATTCCAATTCCTAAAAACTAGGTCAAAAGTAATCCATTTCAGCTTCTGCATTAGATTTAGATTTAACAGATTAAATGCATCTTGATTGTTAGTGTTCTGAGTAGTGTTGCAGAAAATGCTACTTTTAGGTCTTATATTTATCAGTTTGTAAATTGTTGAAAGGCTGATGTGAGGCACTGGCCTTGGTAAAACTTGTTAGTGCTTTAATACAAATTCGATTTAATGACCTCAACTTTAGCATTTGAAGTTACATTGAAGTGATAGTATATTTTTTCTTTTAAGCTTGCCAGGAATAAAGAAGGCTTTGGGCAAGTATGGGCCTGCTGATGTAGAAGATACCACAGGAAGTGGTGGAGCTACAGATAGCAAAGATGATGATGACATTGATCTCTTTGGGTCTGATGATGAGGAGGTATGATATCAAGTAGAATGTGTGGTGGCTTTTTTTTTTTATCATTGATATTAAAGTGCCCACAGATGTTTGTAAGTACATCTTATTAGCTGTCTTATAAGACATGTTTATAGAAGAATTCACAAGATTTATCTCAGGAATGATAAAATTGATTACAGAATAAAAGTTCTTTTGGAGTCCTTGTAGGTATGCTCGGTAGTTAACAGCTAGCCATATAGGTTAGTGTTTTCACAGATATGTGTCAGTGGGAACACTGGTGTTAAGTTAACATTTTGGGTGTTTTAGAGGTCATCAAAAAATGAATTGGATCATATGGTTGTGACTCTAGTTATGTAATTAAACTTTGACTAGTACCTAATTTTAAAACTTACTGGCTACATGATGAATAAAATCAAATCACCATCTTTCGGCTGAATTCATGATGGAATTGCTTTTTTCTGATTAGCTGGTTCATACTCTATGTGAATTGTTAACTAATTTTAATGACAACAAATTAATGCCCTGAAATGTATTGGATTCTCTTCACAGGAGAGTGAAGAAGCGAAGAGACTAAGAGAAGAACGCCTTGCTCAGTATGAATCAAAGAAGTCAAAAAGTAGGTTGTCTTAAGACTTGACCTTACCAATTATAGTTCTTGAGAGGGAAGCAAGAATGTGGTGTTATTGTAAGCTCACTTGTCCTTGTTGGTAAGCTTGAATTTTCTAGTTGCACCAATCTGTGTATTCACTGCTTACTGGAATTTTGAAAGAGATAGAGAAAAAACATCCCACAGCTACTGGTCTGCAACTGTTCTCATCTGTAGCAGTTGTTGTATTCCACTGTGGAAAAGAAACTGTTACACTGTTAAATCACCTCTTTCTAATGCAAAAGAAAGTGGATTCCTTGTGTGACAGACACCTCCTTCACAGACATTTTAACAGGAAATGATAATACTGAATCTTTAGCAGTTTTGTTACGTAAAGTAAAAGTTTTTCCGAATTCTGTTAGAACTCAGTTGTCCTATGATACAGTGACAATTCATGTTCGTAATTATGACACTGAGGCACATCTCGATCTTCAAGAACCTACGTAATCTGACATAAATTTATTATTTGGTGTCCACCTGCTTTGAGTTTTTGCAACTTGAAGGGTCAGTTTAACTTTCTGCCAGTTGATCTCAGTCTTCTCTTAGCTTGAGAATTGGTCAGTGTTTTAATTAATTAGATGTGATTAGTTTAACATTTCTTCCACAACTGAGTACCTTGTCAGAACAAGATGCCATGTGGGAAAATGGTTAGTTCTTCCCTCCATAAAGTCTTCAGTGGGGCACAGTTATGTACATAAAAATAAAAAGCACAGATTGCTGCTATTTCAGTAGGAAGATGGGTATTCTGACTGGGAGGAGGAAGATGACATTTAATTTGAACCTTAAAGAATATGTAAGAATTATTAGTTAATAAAGCTTTTAATCTTTTGTCTTCTGTAGAACCTGCAATTGTTGCCAAGTCTTCCATCTTACTGGATGTAAAACCTTGGGATGATGAGACAGATATGGCAAAATTGGAGGAATGTGTCAGAAGCATTCAGGCAGATGGCTTGGTCTGGGGATCTTGTAAGTTGAAACATTTAACTTAAGTATTGATTGGCATCTATCCTAAATTTGTATTAGGATTGACCCTTATCTTTTGTTTTCCCACTTCAGCTAAACTAGTTCCAGTGGGATATGGCATCAAGAAGCTTCAGATACAGTGTGTAGTTGAAGATGATAAAGTTGGGACAGATATGCTAGAGGAACAGATAACTGCCTTTGAAGACTATGTGCAATCCATGGATGTTGCTGCCTTCAATAAGATCTAAAAACTACCATCCTCAAATTGCATTTAAATAAAAATATTTGCAAGCAAGACCTTTGTGTTTTCACACTGTTGGGTGATTTTTTTCCCCCTTTCATTAGCTTAATTTCCTCCAATCTAAGCCACATTCCTAGCTTTCCTTGATTTCCCATTATGTACCAGATTACCTTAATAGATTTCCCCATTCTCCTAGGTGGTTTTTGGAATGTGATTTTTGTAATGGTGAAGGGTATTTACATACATTTTTGGAGTAATAGTATTGCAGGAATCAATTGTAGGATCTTGGGCGGGGGTGGGTTGAGCTGAAAGGGTATGCTGAATTTGAATTTGTTAGGGGAGGTGACCTGTTAAAAAGCCAAATGCTCTTTTTTTCCTAAGGATTGGAGCATAGAGAAAATCAGAGGTGTTTTTTTTTTAAATAAATTAAACATTTTCAGATTAGTGGTGTTGTAAGTAAAAATTAGAACCAATAGGAGGAACCACCAGAAAAGAGGAAACAAAACTCAACAGAAGAGAAAAGAAAAAGCAAATAGTGTGCTTCAATCTTCGTTTAAATATCGGTTTTTTCTTTGGATGTGGATAGCATTTTCCCTTACGAGGCCTTTGGAGATGTGTTAGATCCTTGTATTGCTGGGAAGGGTTAAGTTTGTCAATATTAGTCATTGCACAACGTGGCTGTTATTGTGTACAATGTTCTCTTGGTTCCGCTCACTTCACTTAGCATCAGACCATACAAGTCTTTCCAGGTTTTTCTGAAGTCTGCCTGCTCATCATTTCTTATTGCACAATAGTAGTTCATTACATTCATATACCACAACTTGCTCAGACATTCGCCAGTGGATGGGCCTCCCCTCAATTTCTAATTCTTTGCCACCAAAGAAGGAGCTGCTATGAATATATTTGTACATGTGGGTCCTTTTCCCCTTTGTATGATCTCTTTGGGATATAGCCCTAGAAGTGCTATTGCTGGATCAAAGGTTATGGACATTTTTATAGCCAAAAATAAGTTTTAAGCTGAGGGAATGATCTAGGGTTATATAATAAGGTCCTGTAGGTAGTGAGGTAGCCTGGGTTCAAATTGTAAATACCAATTAGGGATTTGATTTGAGTTGGTAACTAAGTGCGGGACTACCCCAGTGTCTGGTAGTAAAGAGCAATGTCTTCTGACGCACTCCTACCCCAGTACTCGCGCACTGTTAGGCAAGTGGTCTTAAGTTTTTTTTTGATTGACTCCCTCATAAGTAAAAAAAAAAACCTAACACTGTATTGGCCTGGATAAGTAGCATTGTGCCATTGGTTGTGTACACATAAATTAATTAGACTTTCTGAGAGGGGTGAGTTAATTGAAGCCAATTGGATTTATTGAGAAGTTGAGGTATGGGAGCTAGTACACATTACATTAGAAGACAAAATTAGGCAACTAATTAGAAAGGAAGCGGTAATTAAGAGACAAGTTATACACGTGAGTCGTGAGAAGGATGAGTTCTCTTAATTGAAGTGGGGAAGGTTGGAGAAGTAATGGGTTTGAAATCAGTGATTCCTATTGCAACCCTCCCTTGTGCGTTGAGTCTACTATGGATCTCAACTTGGTGCACCCCAAAATAAAGTGGGCATCAGGGCTATTAACAGTTGCTGCCCCTGACCCTTAGTCCTCCCTCCAAGGAGTCTCCTAACCTTGAAGTCATGAGGGGAAGGGGGGGGATGGTGGCTGTGTCAGGTTTTCTTAGTGATAAATGAAACTGCTCTAAAGAGTCAGCATGGTAATTACTGTCCTAAGGGGCCAACTCCTACAATTAAAAGGAGTAGATTGGAAGCTTGGTACAATGGAGAGGGAGTGTTGGGACAAATTACACAATTGATTATGGGTGCACTAGTTCGTGAAATCTCTTGATTCAATACCATATTTCATTATGACCCAAAAAGGGAAAAGATACATGAAGAATATAGGTGTACTGGCAATGATGTGCATGAAAGGTGGCTTGTATATCAAAAGATGTATCTGATCCCAAAAGGAAATGTTACAATCCAGATAGCAAGATAATGAAGAGATGGATGACCTGTATATTGCCTAGGTCCTCTGGAAGACTAGAATAAGTTGGTTTTTATAACAATACAATGATTTTAAAACACAAATGATGTCCACTTTAAGTCCTGTGCATTTAAAACATTTTTTTTTCCATTTGTCTGGTCGTGTCCAACTTTTTTGTGACCCTGCTTGCAGTTTTCTTGGCAAAGATACTGAAGTGGTTTGCCATTTTCTTCTCTAGCTAATTTTTGCAGGTGAAAACTGAGGCAAACAGTTGAATGACTTGCCCAGGGTCACAGCTAGTAAGCGAAGCCACACCTGAACTTCTTGACTCCAGGCCTGGCACTCTATCCACTTCAACATCTAGCTGCCACTTCCCCCTTTTTCTTCCAATAAATAGTCCCTATTAATTCCCAATTAATGCTGTTGGTCCTACCCCATTGAAGCAGTGCATTGAAATACTTTTAGTAACAATAAAACAGTATTTTTACCAATCCTCTGGCAGTGTGGTTCGTTGCTTAAGTTCAGGGTAACAGCACCACTCAGCAGTAAGTTATACTGAAATAGATGTGGCATATCATAGTATAAATGTCCAAAAAAATTGCTCCTTTCCCCTTACACTAAGCAAAATTGAATAAAGCTTCATATGTGGCTGCATAGTCTAGCAAAACAAGTTTTCACACTGGTTGCATCCAAAACACACAAGTGATGTGAACTCTTAATGTTCTTATCTCCATCAGGAGGCAAGTGGTATATTTTATCTTCATCCTTTTGGACTTATGATTTAGACTGCTATTGAGATAGAGTCAAAGTCGTTTTTCTCTATAATGTTACTACAATTCTGCTCACTTCTTTGCAGTTCATGGAGATCTTCCCAGTATCTTCCAAAATTGTCCATTTCATCACTAATAGCACACTAATATTCCCTTACGTTCCTATACTGTAATTTGTTTAGCCATTCCTTGATAGCATAATCTGCCTTAGTTTCCAATTTTTTTTGCTGCTACAAAAAGAATTGCTGTATTTTGTATTTGTATGTAGTTCCTTTTCATCTTACTTTAATCTCTTTAGGATATAGGCCTCATAATGGGTGCATTTTTAGTAACTTTAGAGGTGCAGTTCCAAATTGCTTTCTAGAATGGTGACCAATTCACAGATCCATCAACAGTTCATCTATGGAGGATTTACAGGGAAGGTATGATGAGTAGGTAGTGATGGTTTACAATCTAACCCAGTGGAGGAAACCCTGATTGATGAGTGAGAGTAATCTAGTCTAATCTTTTATTTTACAGATGAAGAAACAGGTTAAGTTACTTGCCCAGAGTCAAAAGGGGTGGAGGAGGGATTTGACCACAATTCTTGGATATCATATCCAGCACTCTCTAACAACACCATGTATCATTGAGTAGTACCAAGATAATGAAGGTTTAGGTTCTTCCGTGGACTTGGTGTGAAAGTGCTTTTTATAAAAGCAAAGAATGAAATGGTAGATTTCATTTACTGGAGAATGACTGAAAAGAATTTGTGACTTCCCCAAGGTCAAAAAGGTTGCAACACACGTCCAATTATATCACACCTCTACTCAATAAACTCCAGTGGCTCCCTATTGCCTCCAGGATCAAATACAAAAATGCTTTGTCTGGGATTCAAAGCCCTTCGTAACTGATTCCCATTCTACCTTTCTTTCTTCTTATACTTTAGTCCCTGACAGCTTTTGAATCCAGTGACACTGGGCTCCTGGGTGTTCCATCTATCTCTCCTGTCTGGGCAGTCTTTCTGGCTGGCTGTCCCCCATGTCTGGAACACCCTTTCTCCTCTGCTCTGACTACTGACCTCCCTGGTTTCTTTAAGTCCTAATTAAAATCCCATTTTACACAGGAAGCCTTTCCCAATTCCTCTTAAATTCTGGTGCTTTCCTTGTGAATTATTTCTTATTCAACCTATATATAATTTGCTTGGTTATTTGTTTGCATGTTGGCTCTCCTATTAGATTGTAAACTCCTTAAGGGCAGGAACTGTCTTTTTCCCTCTTTTTGTATCCTCAGCATTTAACACAGTACCTGGCACATAGTTGATGCTTAATAAGTGTTTATTTATGTTTTGCATAACTATACATGTATAACCTATATCAAATTGTTTGCCTTGTTAATGAAGAGGGTGAGAAGGGAAGGAGATAATTTGGAACTCAACATTTTAAAAACGAATGTTAAAAATTATTTTTGCTTGTAATTGGGGAAAAATACTAGACAAGTAATTTTAAAATGTTTATCAATTATTGATTGATTGAAAGTGATGGTAATATTAAAATCCAGCTTTCAGGAACCATACTGGTCCTATCTTCTCTGCTGAAAGGAAGGTAGATTTCATTAGTTGGTTGTTGTTTTTTTTTCTTTTTAGGCAATTGGGGTTAAGTGATTTGCCCAGTGTCACACAGCTAGTAAGTGTCAAATGTTTGGTCGGAGGTAAGATTTGAACTCAGGTCCTCCTGACTTCAGGGCCAGCTCTCTATCCACTGCGCCACCTAGCTGCCCTCATTACCTGTTTTTGAAGAGCATTATTGGTTTTTTAATTACTCAAGAATTACTTTTAGGGGTCTGCTTATTTATGTTATTATAGTCATGTATATACATATATATATATATATATATATATATATATATATTTAAAGAACTACATTTCTTTTAATACTTAGATAGAATAGGCAGTAACTTACACAGTATAACTTAAGGAAAATCTCTGTATCCAAAATTATCCTTACCCACCAACCGAGGAGTCACAGTGTGTAAAATTTCAGCAATAAACAATCATTCCTTTTGGGTGACCTAAGCTCCATGTGAGTAGATCCTGTGTGTCATACACCTCTGATCCCTCATCACAAACCATTTTCACACTGTTAGGAAATGCTAGTAAGCGGGACACTCAGAGACTGAACAAGGGTACAGGAAGGGCACCATAGAAAAGTTGAAAGATGAACCTCAAGCAAACTTTGTCTATTTTACCATTTTACTTAGGGCTAGATGTGAGTAG